GTCTGATTGATGGACAGTATGATTTCTCAACATCGGGCCCTGAGGAACACTTGGGCGGAAACCCCAAATGAAGCAAATTTATAGGATAACTACAGGTTGTGGAGCTCAGGAGAGGTCAGACAAGGTTAAATGCACCGTCCTATGTTGGAGAGATCACCGGGTAAGACCCTTTTTAAAATGTACTTCACTGTGGTGGCTCAACAAATTATGTAGAAATGAAGCAAGCGGAGTAGAAAGTGCTCCAAAATCTATTAAAAGATAGTTCAACCAAAAATGAAAATACTGTCATCATTAATTTTTGTCATTCCAGACCTTCATGAATTTCTTTCTTCAGTTGAAAACAAAGAAACAAATCTTCATTCAATAAAAAATATTAGGGTCCAATGTCCATTTTGGAAAATAATTAAATGTTCGGAACTCCATGACGGTGAGTACAGTAAATTAAGACAGACTTTCATTTTTGGATGAACTGTGCCTTTTAACCTTGTTTGTAACTTTCTCTGAAATTCTGTAATCCAAGTAAGTTTATAAATTAAAAGGAAATTATGGTTCTTATGAGATTGTATTATTTGTAAAGCTGCACAGCCTTTACATGTAAGTGTTAAAACCTGAATACCTGCTTGAAGTTCTAAGTTTTCTGTTTTTAGGCATTTAAAAGCAAATAACTTCCTTTACATAACACCTAACGTTTCTCTTTTATATCAGAATGCTTGCAGCTGTCATGTTACTGATGCAAGTTTAATATGTTTAGTAATCAAAAAATCATTGGAAATTAACCTAAGGGAGATAACATTGTTTCATTTCTGCTTTTATCCCAACTCTTTACAGAGTGACAAACCAGACTTTGCATATACAAGAAAAGAGTCTCCCTCATTAATCTGAAAACAGAATGGCAGAATGGTTGTGCTGGGTTTGAACTGCTCCAGGAGAAATCAAATATGCTTTTTGAACATTCACAAACCTACTTAAAATTAGATTTGTTGTGTAATTCACTGAATATCGTGATGCCAACAAGTGGTCTACACCAGAACCTCTCTGAATGTAGATACGGACCACCTCATGTCAACCAGAGAGGCTGGTTCAGTCAAAGCCAAAAACATCAGAGTTACTGTTGACTGCAGGACACACCCCAGCAAGGGAGGAGAAAAAGAGAAATCTGACCATCAAAACCTTCTTAAGGGATAATCCAGGCTGACTGGCCACAGCCAACAGGGATAAACTCTAATTCCCTGCTCAGAATGTGAGCATGTGGTTTTGGTAAAGAACACAGCTCCATGAAGAGTGTCAATTATTTTATTTTTTTTATTCATTAACCAAATATTCTTTTTTTAATGTGTATTTAGGACTAATTAGACACACTGGGGATTGTGAATCTCTACTGAAATGCATGTTCTAAAGGATCTGGACCAGTAAGCAAAACTGAGGATATGCACCAACCCAGAGCATCAGTGGAAACATTTAATTGGTTCTGCATTATTATTAGGAAAAGAGAATTTTGGTCTGAAGAAATAACGAAAGAGCACAAGAACAGAGAAAGAGAAAGAGAAATAATACAATAGCTTATTCTCTCTCAAATCAGCAGCAGGATGAATCTCAGTACAGGCTGTCTGGTACCAAGCTTGTATACGAAGCCTTTGTGCGCTCAGAGTGGAAACAAACCACAGGAAGTAAGATAAATGTAGCTTCTAAAATAAATCAACCATCCATTTGCCAGTCAGGATACCTAAATAAATCTATTGCCAAGCTTTTGTACAATCCATAAATGTCACATTCCGAACCATCCGAGAATAGCAGTGCTGCTGTTTCTAGTTTGAGATCCTCAGAGCATCCATTTAGGTCAGTGAACTCAGGTGTTAATTAGCAGCTGTAATTTTCCTATTAAATGCAGTGCAAGGTAAACAGCAAACAGCTTCGGGTAGTGTCCCATGGCCTTGGCAAGCTGCACACCTCAGCAATTCTCCTCCAAGAAATCATTAGCAGAATATAGTTGGAGAGAATGCTACACATCAGGAGGAGAGTTTGATATTCCCCTCTTTTATTCTGCACACATTCACAGGGTTTGTCCTCAAATAATGTACACTGCAGCTTTTGTGATATGTCAGCATCTGCTCACAAAGCTATCAACTATCTATTTAATGCAAATTTGTAATAAATGTATCATTCGCACCATGAGGATTCACAACATTATTTCTTTGTATCTCAATAATGTAGTAAAGTGTAATTCTAATGGGATGCAATAACTTTGATTAGCATTACGGCAAAAGTAAACAAAAATGCAAGACACTAGCAATGTTTCTATCCAAAGTTAAGAACTAAACTTGTGCACAAATTTGAAATATCGCATAAAACATTTGCGAATAAAGCACTGTTTCCATCAAGCGGGTCGAAGAGAACAAAATTGGCAATTTTTAATAAATATCACTAAGAAAAAATGGAAGTTGTTGCAGTAGAAGCCACTGTATATAATAATTTTCATATTACTTATGGCTCAGAGTGCGCAAATTAAATAAATGCCGTCATGTCAACTTGAATTAACTTGCCTGGTGTTTGTGAACGCAATCATGTGAGGCGTTTCTGGGATGCAATTACTGTATATACCGAACCACTTTAACAACAGACTTTGCTTAAGCATTATAGAATAATCAAAACAGCATTTTAGAAGCTTTTGATGCAGCTCATTTTTGATGCATATCAAGGAATTTATTCTGTAAAATTGTGAAACATGATTTCAAAGTGCATACATTTTTTGGTGCATTTTTAGAATTTATGCACATTTTGGCATTTTTATGCGATATGCCAAAATGCGCTTAAAAATAGGTGGATGGATAGCTACTAACGGCACCAACACCAATGGTTGGATTCTCAAGGACTGCATGAAATGATCCAATTTATGTTTTGAATAACAGGTATATAAAAATTCCTGCCAAGTGCATATTTTTTTCAGACTTCACTGTTACCATCCTGCACAAAAATTTTGAATTTTCAGAACTCGAAAATAAATTCAACAGAACCTACAAGCAACATCACCAAGTTGATGCTACAAAAATGAACAAGTGACAAGAACCATCTGAGATCTGTACCAGCAGCATGTGTGTGTGTGTGTGTGTGTGTGTGTGTGTGTGTGTGTGTGTGTGTGTGTGTGTGTGGGTGTGTTTATGTTACCTCTTGGGGACATGGAGGTGTTTTTTTACCTTCCATGTGGGGACACGATGACCAACTGGGGACAAAATCTGTGTCCCCATAAGGACGCCCATTGGAACTGATAGAAAATAGCATGCTAATATAGCCTGTGCAAATTTCTAAGTTCCTTCCTTGTGACCCCAGAAGGTGGTTTTACCAGTGTTGGAGTGTGAGGGTGTGTACTCGGATTTGCCCCTGGAGCCGGGTCTTGGTACTGCAGTGTGCATATTTAATAAATCTCCGCCTCATATTTACATGTATGGCGGAAACTAAGAAGACGTGTTCCCCCCTATGGTTCGGTCCTGGTACAGCATTGTGCACAATAAATAAATGCCAGATATTACGTATCAATAAATGCCATATTTGGACACAAGGAAGTTATCTCAAGTTAACTTTTGATGGAAATCAATTATGTATTATAGTAAATTAATAAAGTATGATGAATATAGACGATCCTACGCTTTGTCTATAAAAAATAATATCATTTTCAGACACTTATAGCCTAGTAGGATGTTTAGATCTTGTTCTACAAGCAGCCATAAAATATCAAATAGTTTTACCAAAACGTTGAAAAACAAACACCTGCTAAACATAGTCAATTACTAGTACTGAAATCAGAAACCCATGTTGTAATTCATCTTATGTTAGAATCATGTTAGTAGATCGCGTTGATGATAGCTTACTTAGGCTAGCTAACAAGATAGCATAGGCTACGTGATTACCGTAGGTACAGCCTGTCCACGCAATACACACAGCGGCCAATACAAAGTAATGATGAAGCTATGAAACAACGTAGATTATGTAATTATTATCCTACCTTAGACATGTTGTCGGCGAAGATAATGTCCAAACTATCGTTTGATGTCATCATGTCAAATCTATTTACTCTGCAGCATAACTTCACTGACTGACAGCTAGATTTAGCGTGGCAAAAGGTGATGATCCGGTTTCGCGCAGTAGATGAGATAGAGTCCAGCGGCCCGCCATCACTGGCGTTTTGCTCATCGTTATTCTAGAGGACTTCCAGCGTCAGCCGCCGCTTCCCGACGGTGGTCCGCTATCTTGCCGCTGGTTTATAATAAGTGTGTTCTGGCGGACCACGGTCGGTCCACGGTTCTTAATCAGTTACTCATGCTAGCCAAAATTCACTAAAGTTATAGGCTAATGGATAAAAAAGCAATGTACACCAGTCTCAATAGCAGTTGCAAATTTATTTTTATTAAATTAATTTTCAGTGAACAGATGAAATGGATATATTGCATTACATTTATCAGATTATTTTATCCAATGTGACTATTAGTCGAGTACATTATAGGATAAGTTGGATCCTTTTGAAAATTAACCATGGTTTTACCACAGCATTTGCAGTAAAACCATAGTTGCTAACAAAATGAACCATGGTTTCACAACAACCAAGGTTTAAAAACATACGTTTATAGTCATGATTACCATAATTTTACAGCAATTATTACAGCAATATTAGCCTACTAGTTGAACCATGGTTTGAAAACTAAAATAAATAAATAAATAACATGGTTGGTAGTTGTACCATAGTAAAACCACATAGTGCTTTTCACAATACAAATTGTTTCATAACAGCTTTACAAAAAAATGCATGTTCAAGGTTATATACAATTGCAAAATATCCTTTAATCAGCCAGAAGCGACTGCTACTCACTGGGAGAGCATTTTGGCAACAAAGTAATGTCTATAAGATAATACAAGTCATGAGTTTAAAGTCCTAATTGCTATCCTTCATCATTTTTAAAGGGTTGCAGATTTTCAACCTGCTATTCTTACAATGTTGGTAATATGTTAGAACAATGTTTACTCTTTCTCCTAGTTAGGTATACTAAGATATTCCTGTTTATTTGTCAGCAAAACTGTCATGCAAACGTTCCCTTCCCTTCCCTGGTTCCACAGAAAAGGCTTAAGATAGTCCCAGACTAAAATGCATTTTTGAACTGTCTTAACTGGAAGCAACTTGCACAGACATATCTTAAAATATTTCAATGTCACTGGTTTGTCTCAAGAGATGCACACCAGTAATGTTTTTTTTTTCCTTCTTTTTTTTTCTGAAGTACATTTTAAAAAGCTACTTAAATATCCTAATTTAACGAAGGCCTAAACCTGGTTTAATCTGAACCCTGTGTGTGAAACCGGGCCAATGCAATATCTGGCAGTTTTGTGTCCATCTATAGTTGCCACCATCTGAAGTCTTTGTGAGTGTTGGTGTCATCTGAAGTCTTCACGAGTGAGGCTGGATCCACACGGAGCTGCTGTAATCTCTAGTGAACTTGCTGAGCATCCTGAGATAGAAACAGGGAAGCAACAGGAGAAAGATTAGCATAGCAGCAGTCATATTATTTCAGGCAAAAGGTGATCATGTGCACTTTTTATTTAATCACATATAACTGAAGTGCAAGATTATGAGATGTGTAAATTGAATGCTTGGCTACAGAGATGTGTCTTTAATCTAGATTTAAATTAGAATCATGTTTCTGGGCCCCAAACATAACAGGAAGATTATTCTAGAGTTATTCCCTTACATTCTATTCAATTAATTGGAAATCTTAATGAGAAAACATGACCTAACGAGTCAGCATTTTTATATTTGAATACTATACCTTCTCACAATGCAAACGTCCTAAACATTTCTGAGTATGTTGAAAACAGTTGTGCTGATTGCTATTTTTGTGTAAACCAGTGTAACAGTTTAATCCACTTTCTTTTTCTCTCTCTCCAGGATTAATTGTTAATTAGACCCGACATATATAAATGGTGGTTTACACTACTGTTCAAAAGTTTGGGTTCAATAGAATTATTGTTTTTATTAGAATAGAAAATAAATATTTTTTTCCCTTTCTATTCATCAAATAATCCTGAAAAACACAAAAATGTGAAGCAGCACAACTAATTTCAAAACTGATAATAATCATAAACGTTTCATCAAATCATCATATTAGAATGATTTCTGAAGGATAATGTGATGCTTCTCCATAGAAAACAGTTATTTAAATGGTTTAATATTATTTCACAATATTATTGTTTTTACTGTATTTTTAATTAAATAAATGCAGTCTTTGTGAGAATGAGAGACTACTTTCAAAACACATCTTTTTTTTTTCTTTTTTTTTACCAACAACATTAGAGTATGTTTGAGGTTTTAGTTTAGTTCCTTTATTGTCCTCAAGTGGAAATTTGTCTTTGGCTTGATTTTACTTACTAATCATAATGGTGATAGCGCCTTAGAGATGATGATCAGCTCAACTCTGCTACGGTGCAGGGCATCTGCATGGAAGGATCTAGGAACACAACAAACCATTTGTCACAGAGCCAACATTATTATACAGTGACAGGATTATTAAAAGGACAGAAGCTACAGCAGAAGTAAAATGCAGAAAAGAGAGAGAACAGACAATGATTTCTTAATTAGGATAACAAAATGTATGTTTTTACTAGGTTTACTTTTTCATTCTGTTGTGTTCAAACCCCTATAAAACTTGTGGTGTTCCCGGTCAAAAATAACTGGTCTCCAAAAATAGCTTATAAATCACTTATCTCCCAATTCTGGATTCAATCTTTTTGTCACCACTGTTTTTTATATTTCTATTTCTATTTGCATCTGATTAATCGTGGGCAGAGAGTAGGCATTTATTAATAATTTTGGAAATATTAAGTAAAATATGAACATGTTCATTATGTTCATGTACACATGTGCTTGCAAACATCGAGCCCTTGGACCTGAGCATGTGTGGATACATGCATACACAGTACACACGCTACTCAAAGACACACATTAAGACACAGAAACTATTTTGAGTATTACACACATTCTTTTTCACAGAAACTTGATCCTGAACTGCATCTAATATTCATTTATCCATCTGACATTGATACACACAAAACAAAGCAAATTTACTTTTGAAACATTAAAGTAGACTAGTATGATCAACAGTGCAATGTTTTTCATATTTTATTTCCAAAATTATTCATATGCCTACTCTGTTAAATGAGGCCAACGATTAATCAGATGGAAATAGAAATATAAAAATAGTCCTAATTGAAAGAGACCAAGTTGACAAAATACTAATGAGATAACATTAACTAGTATTTTCGAGAAAAATCAAATCTTCTGTTATTTAATGAGCTTCCTCACCTCTGTCTGTGTTTCCACTTCTCTGGCAGCATCCTTTCTTCAGAAATGTTGACATTTTTGAGCTTTCCTCTGTTGAAGAGGGATTATTTGTGTTGCTGCTGAAATCAAAGAAAACAGTTTTTATCAATATTTGTTAACCGTTTGAGCTAGTTTCAGCAATTTTTAAGCACGCCATGTAAGTGACGTCAACGATTAACA